GTGAGCTGGTGCGCAAGCGACTCGAAGAGGTGGTTGTCCTGCCCGTTCACCATGACGCACCAGACCGGACCGTCCGGGGTCGGCACCACCCGCTTGGCGCACCCGCGGACACCGGCGATGATGTCGCGCTCCATGGCGTCGCCTGGCGTCGCCGCCCGCGGCTTGGCGTGGCGCCCGGGTGCGGCACTCGCGGACGCGCTGGGAAGCGCTAGGACGCGCTAAGGACGCGCTAAGGATGCGCGAAGGACGCGCGAAGGACGCGCTAAGGATGCGCGAAGGACGCGCTAAAGTCGGCGCTAAGGACGCGCTGGGACGCGTTAGGACGCGCTAAGGACGCGCTAAGGACGCGCAACGGACGCGCAACGGACGCGCAACGGACGCGCTAAGGACGCGCTAAGGACGCGCTTAGGACGCGCTTAGAACGGGCTTAGGACGCGCTTAGAACGGGTTTAGGACGCGCTAAGGACGCGCATAGGACGCGCTAAGGACGCGCTGAGGACGCGCTGAGGACGCGCTGAGGACGCGCTAAGGACGCGCTAAGGACGCGCTGAGGACGCGCTAGGACGCGCACTTGTGCTCCTCCACCACATGCACTGGCGGACTCCCGCGCGGCTGACACGCACTGCTTCTAGGGGCCCGAACCGCACTGGGCTCGCTGGGAACGCACTGGCACCGGCGCTGTACACGCTTCGACCAGCACATGCGACACGAGGTGACTGCGATCGTAGGCCGGGAGCGAATGGAGCTGGCGCTGCAGCCCTGCCCTGACTCCTCCGGCTCTGGACCGGAACCAGAGCGGCTCAGGTTACACGAGCATGTTGCGTACCGCCCCCATGTGCGGCGCGGGCGGGGCGCAGCGCCTGGCAGACGTGGCCGGCCACACGCGGCGGGAGGTCCTCTTCCGCCGTAATACACGCCTAACAGCGTACAATATACCATACCACGTATACCGAGGAGTCGGTGCATGATCTCTGTAACTGGGTCGTCGACGGGGACGCGGCCTGCTGGAAGCCCCCCCCCCCCCCCAACACACTCGCAAGCTGAAACCACGGTCAGACACGCGGACGACAGACAGACTTGTAGGCCTGTGCTGTGCAGTTTGCGCGCGAGGGAGGGGGCGCCATCTGCCCTAGTCTCATGATCTGCCACATCTGCCGGAATCTTTGATGAAATACCGGAACGCAGCATCTGCAAACGACCCGGCCGAGCGCCTCGCCATCCGGGTGGCCAACTGTGGGTGGCCAGGTCGCTTCAAGACTCTCTCGGTGCCCCCCCCCCCCTCCTCCATTTTTCTCTCGCCTGTTGATTGCACTCGTCTGGCGCTAGATTTATACTGCGAAGTTATGACTGCCTGAACTGCTGTGTTTTCAGCCACCTGCCCCAAGGTTGGATGCACTGTACAAAAGAAATTTTGAAAATTGTGACCACGTTAGGGATTGATCGCTGTGTATTTGGTTTCAGGGATCTGGTCAGTCTATAAAACTTGTAGAGGCCAAGGAGTCTGAAATCGGAATTTAGTCTCTTCTAGCCGCACACACTGCCTTGCATAATCTGAGCATGAGCATGAAACGCTCACGCGCTGGGTTGTGCG